TCAAATTCTGGGATTATAATATTGTTTGGAGGGACTCTGATTGGATGGAAGTCCGGAAAACAAACAACTGTTGCTATTTCAACAGCGGAAGCAGAGTTTATTGCTTTATCTGAATTGTGTTCTGAAGTTACATGGTATGTACAGTTGTTGCAAGATTTAAATATTAATGTAAAAGAATCTGTAAAGGTATTTGAAGACAATGCTGCCTGTATAAAAATGGCAACTGGTGACAGGGTGAAGAACAGAAGTAAACATGTAGACATTAAGTATTGTAATGTCAGGGAAGCTGTAAAAGGAAAATTGATTAGTTTACATCATTGTTCTTCTGAGGATAATTTGGCAGACATGATGACTAAACCACTGGGTAATGTTCACTATGGAAAATGTGTAAAGTCAATAGGTCTGATGTCTCTTCCTGTCATGAAGGGAGGAGTGTTGGAATATTCATGAATAGGAAGAGTCATGTGGTAACTCAGTCAGCCAATGTGAGGAAAGTGCTACTGAGTCTGTGCAAAAAGGTATTGAGTTAGGAGCTGGATTTCCAGTCTCTGGTTTTGTCTCTGGTCTGTCTCTGTAAGAAGTCTTCAATTGGTATTGTAAATATTTTTATATAAATATAAAGTTATTTGAATCAGCTAAATGCAGTCAACTGTGAGAGCTTCTGATTTATTTCTTTACCAATAGAGAAATTAAAATTCTCTAACACTATTGTTAAGTATATAATGGAAGGGGGAAGGGTTTTCCATTCACAGATTGGCATAATTTAACTATCAGGCAATGTCCATGCCAAGAAAGCCACCATGACATTGATGATCCGAATTAGACACTTCGCCCCAGTACAATGATCTCTGAGACATCTCTTACATACTCATATGAGCTATCTATCTGGGCATGGATATCAGATGTGGAAAAGAGTGCAAGTTGACTCTTCAAAGCACAATTGTTGATGTGAAGGAATGAACAGATCATGAAGACTAAAATAGTTTTCTACTGACCTACTTCATTTGTGACCAAGGAAAGAGAAAAACTTAAGGAAGCCAAAAATGCACTCAAAAGTTCTTCAGAGGACAATCTTACCATTTCTTTGAAAATACAACAAACACTGGCAGTTTTATTGAAGAAAAAAACTGACATGCTTCATTGCTCATCCTATCAGGTTACTCCAGAGGAACGGAAGCTGCCTGGCACTTCTTGGCTACTTGACTAAATGCTTGTTTCAAACCCCAGGCTTCTGAGTCAATCTCCAATTCAAGAAATGTGTTAAGCCTATGTTCAAAAGCAGTTCCATCAGCAGAGGACTTGTGAGAAGGCAGGTGCATATGACAGTGCAGGATAAAGAGATCTGGCTTGTATAATCCCACCAACACCATGCCTGTCCATTGTTTAGACAGTATGGATTTATCTGTGTCCTCCTCCATACTGGGGGAAAGGTATGCAGGTTCAGAGATGGGAAGAGAACACTTTCACTGAGCTGACAAGGAGCAATCTCGGACCCTGTCACCACTGCACGCAAACAGGGATCTTGAACTTTCTACCAAAATATCCATCATTCTACAGATTGTCCCATCCTGCTCTAAAAAATCTTTGCCCAACTTCAGGAGTCTTCCCTTGAAAAGTAGTAACCAAACTCTCAATATAATTCTTAATGCTTTGTCACATGAATAGAACAAGGTATCTAATCCTGTTAGTATTTAAATCTGTATTCATTTAGCAAACTTATATAGCTTCCCATCCATACACAAATATATCTGAGCAGCTAATAAAGTATATATAAAAGCAAAATATAAACACCATTGGAAACATCATTTAAAAATCAATTGAGTCTCTTACAAGGCACGTAAGAATTAAACAACTTCCACCTCCATTAAAGGACTCCACCAATATTCTAGCCCCAATGACTGAAGAAGGAACCAAGTCTTCAAGATTTCTAGAAAGTCCAAATGGTTGGGACCATCTGAATTTTGGAAAGAAGCTTCACAGTACAGAAGACATATGTCCAGGATCCCACTCGGTATCATTCTTTCACAAAATGGATCCAGAATTTCCCACCCTGCCAGAACTGTGACACCACTGAAAACAGGCAGCCCTGCACATTACTATGTATCATGTAGCAGTTTAAAAATGACAACCAACATTTGATCAAGAGCATCCTATCATATTGCATTACAGTCTGGTTTGGAAGCATTACTGCTTCAGACTGGAAGGCTATGCAGAGAATGGTGAGGATGGCAGAAAAGATTGTTGGCAGTTCCCTTCCTTCAATCCAGGACATAGCATATAAGCATTGCTTGAGCAGGGTCCGCAATATTATCTGGGACACTACACATCCACTTCATAACCTGTTTTCCTTGTTACCTTCTGGGAGGAGGCTTCTGGGTATCCAAAACAGAACGTCCAGATTCAGTCTCACTTTTGTTCCATATAGTATCAACGTTGTGAACTCTCAACCTTCCTCTTTCCACTAAATGGGGAAAAAAGTGGGGCAAAAAAGTATTTAGTCAGCCACCAATTGTGCAAGTTCTCCCACTTAAAAAGATGAGACAGGCCTGTAATTGTCATCATAGGTAGACCTCAACTATGAGAGACAAAATGAGAAAACAAATCCAGACAATCACATTGTCTGATTTGGAAAGAATTTATTTGCAAATTATGGTGGAAAATAAGTATTTGGTCACCTACAAAAAAGCAAGAAGTTACAGACCTGTAACTTCTTCTTTAAGAGGCTCCTCTGTCCTCCACTCATTACCTGTATTAATGGCACCTGTTTGTACTTGTTATCAGTATAAAAGACACCTGTCCACAACCTCAAACAGTCACACTCCAAACTCCACTATGGTGAAGAACGTCGAAGGACACCAGAAACAAAATTGTAGACCTGCACCAGTCTGGGAAGACTGAATCTGCAATAGGCAAGCAGCTTGGTGTGAAGAAATCAACTGTGGGAGCAATAATTAGAAAATGGAAGACATACAAGACCACTGATAATCTCCCTCGATCGGGGGCTCCACGCAAGTTCTCACCCCGTGGGGTCAACATGATCACAAGAACGGTGAGAAAAAATCCCAGAACCACATGGGGGGACCTAGTGAATGACCTGCAGAGAGCTGCGACCAACGTAACAAAGCCAACCATCAGTAACACACTACGCCACCAGGGACTCAGATCCTGCAGTACCAGACGTGTCCCCCTGCTTAAGCCAGTACATGTCCGGGCCCATGTGAAGTTTGCTAGAGAGCATTTGGATGATCCATAAGAGGATTGGGAAAATGTCCTATGGTCAGATGAAACCAAAGTAGAACTGTTTGGTAGAAACACAACTCGTCGTGTTCGGAGGAGAGGGAATTCTGAGTTGCATCCAAAGAACACCATACCTACTGTGAAGCATGGGGGTGGCAACATCATGCTTTGGGGCCATTTCTCTGCAAAGGGACTAGGACGATTGATCCGTGTACAGGAAAGAATGAATGGGGTCATGTATCGTGAGATTTTGAGTGCAAATCTCCTTCCATCAGCAAGGGCATTGAAGATGAAACATGGCTGGGTCTTTCAGCATGACAATGATCCCAAACACATCACCCGAGCAATGAAGGAGTGGCTTCGTAAGAAGCATTTCAAGGTCCTGGAGTGGCCTAGACAGTCTCCAGATCTCAACCCCATAGAAAACCTTTGGAGGGAGTTGAAAGTCCGTGTTGCCCAGCGACAGCCCCAAAACATCACTGCTCTAGAGGAGATCTGCATGGAGGAATGGGCCAAAATACCAGCAATAGTGTGTGCCAATCTTGTGAAGACTTACAGAAAACGTTTCACCTCTGTCATTGCCCACAAAGGATATATAACAAAGTATTGAGATGAATTTTTGATATTGACCAAATACTTATTTTCCACCATAATTTGTAAATAAATTCTTTCCAAATCAGACAATGTGATTGTCTGGATTTGTTTTCTCATTTTGTCTCTCATAGTTGAGGTCTACCTATGATGACAATTACAGGCCTCTCTCATCTTTTTAAGTGGGAGAACTTGCACAATTGCCCCACTGTATATCATGTGTATATATGATATACAGCGTGGCAATACTTTTTTGCCCCACTGTATATCATGTGCATATACGTATTATGCATGTGTATGGATAGATATATGCTTTCTTTTAAGAGCAGGCAATAGAATTTCAGTTTTAATGTGGGCCAGTATACTCATAATAAAAAATGACAAATACAATTGCACTGAAAACCAGACACAGCTTCCAAATGCTTTTTAAGGGCAGTTCCAAGTAAGTCCATTGCAATAGACCAACTGATCATGAGCATTGGATCCCAAATCAGCAATAAGTATAAATGGCACACCAGAAAAGTTTATGCAAAATTCTCCTGCCTCACCCGCCTTTTTCTCAAAAAGAAGACCTGAACCGTATAACCAACAGCCTCTTATCTTTCTGGATTTTCTTTTATTTTTGTGGGATTAGATTAATTTTAATAGCAATCACCTCCTAGTGTCAACAGAAAGCAAAATATCTCAATTGATATACTTCCTGTACACAAGACTGAACTATTTTCTTTAATAGAGCTACCAACTATCTGCTTTACAAAGAATCTTGGCCAATTTCCATCTTAATTTGATCAATAATTTTCATTTAATCATTGAAACAAAAAAAAACTTGAAGCTCCTTTTTAAATTTATTTTTATTTTTTGTTTCTGCACTATTGTATTTTCTTTTCTTTTTTCTTAATGTTAGTTTTTATGTTACTTTAAAGCTTTTAATAATATATATATTAAACAAAATGAAGAACGAATCTTACTCAGCAAAAAGCACACAATTAGCCTTCGACCATTCTCAATTATTCAGCTAACAAATGAGCCAATCTCACCTTAGAATCTTTCAGAGATTGTCTGCATTACGTCTACCCTGGCATTGTGCCTTTATTTTGAAGCTATGAATCTTAGCTTCTTCTTATGCAGTATCAATTTTTCCTTTTCCTTACCATTTGCTCCTTTTTATTTAATTCAGGATGTATTATAATAATATAGCATTTGGGAAGGAAAATACAACTCAATAAACCAAAAGCAGAGGTTAAGATGGAGAAAATCTCCACAGCTACCATCAATTTGCCCTTGGTGCTCAAGTAGGTGGGGATGAAGGAAATCCAAACACTGCAAAACATCAACATGCTGAAAGTGATGAACTTGGCTTCATTGAAACTGTCAGGCAATTTCCTGGCAAAGAAAGCCACTGTGAAGCTGACAATGGCCAGAAGACCCATGTAGCCCAACACAATGTAAAACATCATCTCTGAGCCTTCGTTGCATTTCACTAAGATCTCACCCACTTGGGAATGCTTCTCTAATTCTGGAAAAGGGGGCTTGTTCACTAACCAAACAGCACAGATGGCAATCTGAATCAAAGAACAAGGCACAATAACCAAGATTGCTAGCCTCTTTCCCATCCATTTCCTCATCTTGTTCCCTGGTTTTGTAGCCACAAAAGCCAGAACCACAGTGATCGTTTTGGCCAGTACACAGGAAACAGCAACAGAGAAGGTGATACCAAACACAGCCTGCCTTAAAAGGCAGGTTTCCTTGCTAGGTCTTCCTATGAAGAAGAGGGAGCAAAGAAAACATAGCAGCAGAGAGGTGAGCAGGATACATGTGATGCTCCAATTGTTGGCTTTCACAATGGGAGTGTTCGAGTGTAACCTGAAGATTGCCATCACAATAAGTGTGGTCAGAGAAAGAAAAAGTGCCAAAGATGTCAGAGCTGTTCCCAGGCCATCTTTATAGGACAGGTAAGTAATTACTTTAGGAATGCATTCTTGTTGATTTGTGTTAGGATACTGTTCTTCTTGGCAAGACTCACATTCATCTGCATCTAAAGATCACAAGCATAAATTCAGTATTTGAACTTTGTACTAATATTTTTCATACTTCCTGCTCTTTATATATTATTTGATATAAAAAAGTTAGTACGGAACTCTACAAAAGTCTTTTAAAATTATGGTCCCCAATCTTTTCAGCTTTCTGGAATAGTAACAGCACCAGCAGTGGTGGGGAGAGAGAATAGTTTTGCACAAGCAATGGGTGGGCACACACAGCTCCATTTGCATGAGCAGCAGGTGCACAAAGCTCACACAAATGGAGCTTCACATGTTCATACATATGCCTGCACACCACTTGCATGGCCCAGTTCTGAATAGGCACACCTTGGGGTTGGGGTCCCTGATTTAAAAGCACAAATCAATATAAGAATAGCCTTTGAATACACTATTGAAGATCATAAACCATAATAAAGTCATTAGATGTATGTGAGAGAGAAAGCACAAAATAGAAAATTTCTGGATGTTTTCCTAGATTAGATCTGAATTCTACACTTACCCATTTGTGTTGAGATCCTCCCTGAAGCACACGGAATGCAATCATAACAACAGATTTGTTTCCCCTGCTGAATTAGTTTGCTTTGTCCAGGATGGCAGCTCTCAACACAGGTAGATTTTGGCACCATCTATTAATATTGTCCAGAAAAAAAGAGTCTATAGAAGAAGAAATAATTTTCTCCTCTTGCTGATAATTCTGAATTACATACATTTGGAACAGATAGATTTTAGAAATTATGAATCAGGTTATTAATATCTTAGAAAGATTCCTAATTTCACAACTATCTGACATTGGTAACTCTTTCTGCATTTTTCTTTTTCCCCAATATATTTTCTAAATTCAGCTCTCTCAACAAATTTCCTTGCTGTTCTCCAGATTACCACTCAAATGATACTGATATTAAGCGTAAGAAAATATAACAGTTCCAACCTGATGAAACGTGGGATTCCACATAACGGCACTTGCATTAATGATGAATTCTTTTCCAAGTTGAAAACTGGGATCGATTCTTCCAACTTGGACTCTCTGGAAAGATTCATTGGGAAATGTCACCAAATTGATGAGGTCATAGCCTATCGCTAAATCCCTCTCTTCATCAAGAAATATTTCATCTCCAACGTTATTGTTAAAGTGGACTTGTCTCAAAAATGAATTAAGCTAGAGGGAAGGAGAAATAGGTTACTGCTGTAACGAAAAGTAACGGTCACTAGGAACATCAGTGATATGACATTTAAATTGAGATATGATGCAGTACTGAAAATTAGTGTTTTCGAAGTACATCAAGAATCGAAAAGGTTTTATCCAGCCAGAACATGGATGGTTAACCACAACAGCAATATTTTTCATCTGAATCTGAAACCAGGGACTCATTCCATTCCGTCTAAACTATGTAAGATGACAGAAAGGATTTTTTTTCCTTTTCCCTGAGAAACTACAAGTCTGTCTATCAAATTCATTCTCCAGAGTCTCAGTTCTCCCATTTTTGAATGACGTGGATAAATATTTTGTTTCAAAGAAATTAGGCTATAGTCCGTTCATTACTTTTTTATTTCTACCTAAATCATAACTAACTTACTCCTTTTCTGGAGCACTCCAGCTACAAGCAATTTAGGCCTTTTTACTCATTTGGGAGAAGTAGCCAGTCCTTACTGTTTATTCCTCTTCTGATAGTGGGATTAAATATCTGGTTGTTTTTGCTAATTTGAGAAGGAGCCAACCCAGAATGGATTAAATCAGGGCTTTTCAACCTTTTCACCCATTGTACCACTTTTAGGATATCCGAGTAGTACAAGTCGCCTAGCAAGGTGTCAAAAACTTGATGACCAAAAAAAAAAAAAAAGGAAAAAAGTAATAAAGTACAGGTAGTCTTTGACTTAAAACAGTTCACTTAGTGACTGTTCAAAGTTACAATGGCACTGAAAAAGTGCCCCCCAAGCCACAGCCGAGCAAGACACCTACCTACCTGCCCGGTGGTGCTCTTCCTCCTGTCTGAGGTTTTCATTGTTGGGAGCATTTCTGTTGAGGATTGGCAGTGGGGGTGGGGGGGTGTTTGGTTTTTATTTCCCTGCCCCCTCTGCTGGGACACTGTGACCATCATAAATATGAATCAGTTGCCAAGTATCTGAATGTAAATCACAAGAGCCTGGAGATGCTGCAACATTCCAGCTGATCGGTGCTTCTTCTGGGCTCAGCAGAAGTGCCAGCATCAGTGTTGCTTTCCAGCTGATTGGTGCTTCTTCAGGGATCAGTAGAAGCACCTGGATAAGCGCTGAGCTCCAGCTGGAGCCTGGCGCTGATCCTGTTGCTTCCACTGAGCCCTGACAGCCCCGAAGAAGTGCCAATCAGTTGGAAAGTGGCACTGATCCTGGCGCTTCCGCTGAGCCCTGACAGCCCTGTATCTCCAGCCATCTCTCACTTAGGCTTGTGTGGTGCTGCCACCGATTCAGCTCATTCCCCTCCCCCGCTACCACTTTTATAGGATGGTCATGTACCACCTGCCAGGTGCCAATGTATGACAGGTGGTACCCATATCACTGGTTGAAAAGCCCTGGATTAAATTATCCACTTTCCCCATGGTGTTAAATTTAGCATCAATTTTAAATCAGCATCTCATTGGTGCATCTGGACTCTCAATTTCTAATTCACTTTAAATATTTTATAAGGTATCTCCATTCTCTCAACATTCTCCTAAAAACATTCACTTGCTTTTCTTTGGGGTTTCAGATGCTGGTTGTGTTTACTAGTTTATCTCTGTTGTTACATCATGTATGCTTCTGTTTTAGTTCTCTTTTGGTTTTCTAAATTATTTTGGTTTTAATGAATTGACCAATTTACTTGTGAGTACCTGCCAGGGAGCAACATTTTGGAGATTCCATTGGCCTTGATTCCTGCTTCCCCTCCGTTTGTTCCTCCAGGAATACAAAGCATGGAGAGAATGTGCCACAAGATAAACAGCATTGTAGATGCTATAACTCCAACCAGACATCCCCATTTCAAAGACAAAATCAGGAAGGCTCTCCAGCTTCTCTTCCCCAGTGCAATTCTTCATTTTCTGTCCATAAACTATATGGATGTTGAGTGAGCAGAAGAATGTTGATGTCCAGAATTCAGACAGGAAATAAAATGTAGACTTCAGAGGATTTATTTTCTCAAGAAAATTCTGAAATCCTGGCACATCTTTGGTATGGAGTGAGAATGATAGGGTTCCATTGAAGGATTTTTTGCTAAATGGTCTGGCAGGGTTCTGGGCAGTGAAATCCCATTCACATGTTGTGATCCACACCTTCTCCAAAGGCTTCTTATGGCCAATTTCCAATGAGTATAAAACCATCTGTAATCCTTCCAGAGACTGCCCATTTCCATATACAAGGAACACATTGATTTTACTTTGGGAGATAACAGATTGAATTTGAAGGATTTTTTTCTCAAGTATCTCTCTTAATAAAAATAGTGACATAATTGGGATCATCTGTATCCCAGCTATGCAAACATTATTTTCTAGAAGCTTGGGTCTCAGAGTTCGAAGAAAGTTTTCACCACTTTCATCGTCTGAAACAATTAGACTAACCCAATTCCATCCAAAATATTTCAGAAGTTGAACTATCCCCATATATTGAAAAGCTTCATTGGGAATCATTCGGTAGAAAGAAGAAAAACCAATTTTCTCTCTTAACATGGGGTCAAAGGAGCCATAACTAACCTGGGGAAAAACATTTTAAATCACAGAAAAACATTCAATTTTGCATACACTCTTTTTAAATGGCTGCTAATATTAGATACAAATTTACTGGACATTCTTAAAAATCCACTTTAGTATATTGTTTGGTGAATGGATGGACTCACTTACATTGCCCATGGGTGGTCCTTTTTTAATTAAAAGTTTTTGCAATTTTACAATAAAATCCCTTTCCCACTACCTCCCTACCCTCCCAAAAACCCTCTCCCCCTCTTCCCAGAGCTGAATACAGGGTTAACTAGAACTAAGATCATGGGTGGTCCTTTTGAAGATGAGAAATACCAGTTAAGTAGCTTTCATATTTATGTGGTCACTAAGAATCAACATCAACTTGATGGCAAATAGTCAGACAATCAATCAATCAATCAGTGTATTTAGTTTGAAATTCGTGAAAAGGATATGAAAGAAATTTGATTTCTCTAGTTTACATTTCAAGCTTGCAGTAAACCAGGTCCTCAATTAGAAGTAGATGTAAAATGACAGTTCAACAATAGAAGAATTTACCTTTACCACTGAGACTTAACAGTTATTCTCCTTTTCCTTCTATATACCAATTTCCAAACATTTACCTGAGGAATCTTGTAAGTACTTAAGATGTTGGCCATGTGAATAGAATTTTCAGAGGTGAGTCCCCCAATGTTGGCCATGACTTCCTCTTCAGTGATACAGTAATAATTGAGTGGATCCCCTTTTCTTAGAAAGAGAAGATCCAAAGTGGTCCAAGTGGTTCTCCATGAATTGTACACATTGTCATAAATCTGGGACCGTAATGTGTTGTTGGGTAACAGATCGGGATTCTTATTGATTTCTTTGATGGCAAAAACAAAAGCAAGGACATGCTGGTAGTTTTTAGGGATTAGACTGCCAAGAGAATTTTGAATGTTAGATCTTAAGGGCTAATAATTAAGTGACTTGCAGCTTAGATCATCGCTTGCCCATAAAGCTCAACTGAATATCGTTCTCTATATGATGGGAAACTCTTTCTGAAATAAATGCTTCAGATATTCCCCTAAAGCAAAGTGAATAAGTTTCTTTCCTCTGTCATTAATGCACACACTATATATCTGTCTATATATTTTAGGTTTCTTTTTTAAAATTGATACTCCTTTCTTTTGTACTTTATTGTATATCTCAATGGTGTAATTCATACAAGTTATAGATGTCATAACGAAACTATGCTCTTAAATCAGAGAGATGGGGGAGACAGACAGAGAGACAGAGAGGATCTAATCTTCCAGGTAAAGTATATAAGGATACACAAAATTTTGGATATATACTTTGGATATACAAAATTGCTTCTCCCTTTACGCATCCAAAGTACATTATTAAATATAATATAGCCATAGACATACTTTGTCAGGGTTTCTAATGATAATTCTTAAAAAGAATGAGGGATGTAAGAATTCCTAATTACTCTCATTCAACTTGCCCAAGGTACTATACCCTACAAATGAAACAATATCTTAGAATTAACATTTTTTTAATCTTATTATATATTTCTTATTGTCTACCAGGGGATCTAAATTGTACAGAGAGAACTATTAGGGCTCTGAGCAAATCCATCTTCACACACAGGCTATCTATATGTTTTCAGTCAAAAGTTAATAGCTGAAACCTGCCTCCCACCTCAATTTCTGCTCTAAGTGTGCTTGGCATACAAAATGTCAAAACATGGAGAAAATTAGAAGGCAGAATAAGAGATCTATCATTATTTAGAAATAGTCATTTAGGTGGGGAAAGTAAGAATGATCATCACACCAAAACAGAATCTTCCAAGAATGAAAAACCATTGAAGGTTTTTTAAGGAAAGTATGTTATGGGGTCAGAGACACCTTAGATAAAAATGAAGAATTACTTACTAAGCTTGTGCTGGTGAAGAAATTGGATATTCCCTAAACTTCTGTTCCCTATAATTACCAAGTATCATGGATACAAATTCTCCAATTATAATTTCATCTGAAAGATCTGAAGGATGTGTGGAAACTTTTTGCTGATAAGGATCTTTTAGGTTCAAATGTTTCCTGAAGGAATGGTTGAGCTTTACAAGCAGGAAGATTAGAAAAAGAGCTAGGAGCTCTTGAGGCAAGCCCCACCCCAATCTTACCACCATGATAAACAAGCACCCCGCACCTTGATCAAAAATTCAGGAAATAAAAGTGAATAATTGTGCTGTTGTCAGATGTGGATCAAAGAGTGATATTAAAAAACAACCTTTTGGCAGGGCTTTTATGCAGTAAGCACAACTTGTCAGAGCTGAAGTGGCTTTGCAGTCATTGATATTCTACCTCTCACAATTTCCTTCCATTAATCACTATCATTATGGCAGTTGTAGGGCATCAAATCCCTGTTGATAAAGAAAATGATCTCAGCATAAACTCTGTATTATATACCACCCAAAGTCACTTTGTTTGAGTTAGGTGACAGTTCTTTATTTGTGCCACATATTTATACCTTTTCTCATAAACAGCTCAAGGGGCAAACATATACAACCTATCATCTATTTTACTATTTTCCCTAAACAGCAACCCTGTGAGGTGATAGGCTGATAGAGAGCAACCAGCCCAAGATCATCCAGCTGGCTTTAATGGACTAGAACTCATGGATGCCTTAACCACTAGACCAGGTGTCTTCAAATGTGGCCCTTTTATGACTTGTGGACTTCAATTCCCAGAATTCCTCAGCCAGGCACACTGCCTGAGGAATTCTGGGAGTTGACGTCATCAAGTCATAACAGGGCCAGGTTTGAAGACCCCTACACTAGACCATACTGGGTTTTATTAATTGAGTAAGTAAATAAATCAGCAATAAAATGCTTCTCTTCCCTCATTCTTCCACTGTGGGAATTAACAAGCCTTTCCATTTTTGCCCATATAGGATTCTTACTGCTGTCAACATATGTAATAAATTTCCTTTTTTTTTTCTAAATTCTTCATCCAATAGTTCTAAAAGAAAGTCTTCTGGTTTCAATTTTATACAGTGGTAACTTGGTACTTATCCTTAATTGGTTCCAGTGAATACCAAACAATAAGTACCAAACAAATTTAGAATAATATAGTGAGTCACAAAGGAGTTGACACCAACAAGTTTTACCTCAATGAGTACTGAGACAAGATTTTCACATCAAAATGTGTTGAGTATCAAATTCAATGAATTTCAAAGCAGTTGAGCGGGGTGTGGTTTTAATAGGATGCATTTGGCCTGGGGGCCGGCAGTTTGACATCCCTGCTCTATATAATGACATTAGCTAATTTTTTTTTTCATTTGACAACCTTGCATCAGGGTGGAGTTGGGGCAACTGAATGGAGCTCAAGTGTTTACTGGCCAGATGCCCTTCCTGATGTCTATGCAGAGTTCGCAGCAGACAATTACTCATTGTGCCCAGAGAAAGAAATATCTGCCACTACACATAGGATCAAACCCACAGCCTCCTGATTATGAGAAGAGAGCTCTACCTCTAGGTCATTTCACCCCTCAATGACATTAGCAATTTAGTTGTAGAACATCTAAAATTGTAGAACATCTTTACATCTCTCCTGTGCTTCTACTTTATCTTTTAGTAAGATGCTGAAGTCTTCCATTCTGACATGTCAAAGACAAAATGAGTGTTTAAGTGACAAAGTGGAAATATTTGTCAGTATAGTTGCATTATCCAAAAATAAAAAGAACAGAAGAAGAGATAATTATTCTTTATACTTCTTCAAAAAAATCAAACTAACAACTGACAAATACAGTGGTACTCTAGTACTCATTGTTAATTTGTTCAGGGAAGCATGATGAGGACTAAAAATGACGAGTACCAAACAATGTTTTCTCATAAGGAATAATGGCAGCCAATGCCAAGAAGTTCAAGCTTGTGCATCAAACAAACAATGAATACCAGCAGAAAATTTTCATGCCGAAATGTATTGACTACCAAATTTGATGAGTTTGAAAGCAGTTGAATGCAAAGGTACCACTATATACTTTACTTCATTCATTCATTCATGGAAACTAATGCCTAAGAGAAGGGAGTGGTCAAACTAGCACTTTGCTGCTACCCCAAAAAATTATACAACTATATCTGCATGGTCACTAAGCTTTTGAGTGATAAAATTATGCTGGTTTATTTTAATGTTATTATTTCTATTGTATTTAATGCACGATTTACTATGTATATGCCATTTTTAAAGCCACTGAAATTTCTGGGTTTCTTTTTTTTAATTAAAAGTTTGGTTGCCATTTTAAGAAGGTATTTTTTTTTTAGAAAAGCAATGACTATAAGACCAACCTTATGGACCTATAGAAATATGGTTTAGTCATAGTGAACCTAATTTCAAGCTGAAAGAAGAATTGCCATGCCTCATCCTTCACAGAGGATGGTGACTTTTGATAGAGGACCAAGCCTCTTCTTTTCCACTGCTTCAGGCAACGATGCATGAGATCCCTCTCTCAAAACTCACCACCTCTTTCAAAGTGCATCAAGATCAAAACCTTCCAGACAATTATTCATTCACCATGACAGAGCAGTTGTCAGCAGTTCTATCTGTCTCTTTCAGCAATGAACAGGGAAAAAAATGGTGACAGGAAGTTGCCCAGGAGTCCAGGGGGAGGGAACATCCACAGCCAATTTTAATGAGTCAAGTAGCTGGTGCCTACAAAGTGGTCTCCATTCTCCACAGTTCATCCAATTGCCCTTTTATTAGAACAGAGTTCTAATAAAACTACAGAATTTCTTTTTCCAATATGACCATTTCAGCAAAGCGATGGGCAGAAGAAATAAGTATTTTTTATGAATTAGGAAGTTGTGAGAGGAGAAGGGAGAATTTATCTCTTCCTCCTTTTAACCAGCATTGCTTTCTTTGGATAGGGAAAGCAAGACTCGGTTCCCCAAATCTGTTATGATCCCAAGATCATTTCTTTCTTCCTTGATGAGGAGTAGCCAAGAGATGGGTTTGGACCATACAATTTCTTCAACTGGAAAAATAGTTGAGTAGCTTTGGGAAAGGGATCTGCCTACCTCATAATTGTCAGAATTAAATAATTACACTTCTTTTTTGGGGAAAGCACAGAACACTTAAACACTTAACAGTTTAACTTTACTGTTAACAACAACTTCATGAGGCTCAGTAGGTTGCATTATGAATCACTCAGATGATAATTATTGTAATCTACAACTTTAGTTATGCATAAAACCAACAGAGACTCTCTTTCATTGTTGCAGACAAAGTGCTGTGATGAAGATGTGCCTGCACTGCTGTGATTGGAGCCAAATTCCTTTGGCATTCAAAAGGACTCAGATATTTTGCCATGGGTTTCTACTCTCTGTCCTTATCCTCCAGGCTTCTTTCAGCAAGATCTTTAACCCCATGTGTGGTGAAAAACGACATTTTAAGATTAATTTCCCTGCCCTCTCCAATGATATAATCATTGGAGAATTTGTGTCTACTATATATCCTGAATTGCCTTTACTCCACTTTATGGAATGCCCAGAAGGATCCTTGCGTGGAAGGCAAGTACTCTTTAGAAAGAAACCTTTCAAGATTTTTTTAATGTGATTGAATTCAAGAGATTCACATTAAAATTTTTCCACTGTAGATAAGAATCAAAACTGGTTTAGGCATGATTCTTATTTATAAATCTCTCTTAGTCAGGTGCTGGAATATAGCTGTTGAATGTAGCCTTGTAGATTCCTAGTTTTTCATGTGGCTGTTGCTACAGAAGAATTAATCTGATCATAAAAAAAATCTTGTTCCTCTATTTTTTTTATTTTGTATGCAAAAAGAAAAAGAATCCTTGTCAAAAATATCTAACATGATATTGTAATAAAATTTATAAATATATATCTATGATTCTCATAATATATAACAATGTCATTAGGATTTTATCATTTATTCCTTATTTGCAAACACTTCTATATACCAAGACTTTTATTTTAAATAGATTATGGTTGCTTGAGATTTATATTTATCATACAGTATGTCTCCTTAGTAATTTAAGGCATAGAAAGGTGGGTCATTTTTAAATATATGAATGTGATCAAATGTTACAGTACATTTTGAGTATTTGGATTGTCTTAACAGTTGGGACAATTCATCAGTTTTTGCCCTCCAATTTCATCGCTATGCTACACATAAGAAATAATCCTTTTAATTGCATTAAAACCCTGTTTTAAACTTCTCAAAGTATGATGCACAGATGCCCACATGATCCTCAAGTGACATTCAGACATTCCAACTCACCTCCTCATTCCATGCTTTCCTCAGCTCTGGAATATCTTAACTACTGAAATTTAAGAATGAAGGTTTTATTCTTTTTAAAACAATGCTTCAGAATATGGGTGCATTCTTCACTTCTCTAATACTCATTAAAGCAGACAAATACTTCATTTTAGGCAAAGAGAAAAGCACTATCAAAGAAGTCTATCTAAATCCAATCCTTGTCACTTTCTAAGATTGTAGAACTAACTGAAACTCTTCTTGCAGGCCGTTGCCTAAAAACCTACAGCATATCCTAGCCTTCAGTTTTGCCATTCAGGAGATCAACGTGAATGAGAACTTGTTACCCAACATCACCTTGGTCTCCAAGGTCTATGACAATGGTTTTCAAGCACTGAAAGCCTCTGAGAACCTTTTGACTCTTTTCTTTGTTGAAGGCCGTTGTCCCCTCAATTACAGGAGGGGAAAGGAGCAAAACATCATGGCTGTCATTGGTGATCTCCCTTCTCAGAACACCATACAGATGGCCAACATATTAAATGCCTACAAAATTCCACAGGTAGGTCTCCGGGCTCACATAAATGCACAAGAAAGGAAAGAGTGGTGGTTAAAAGTGGAGAGAACCCCTCAAAAACAGCTGCAATATTGGGGAGCTGATTTGGGGTAGTTTTATTTATTTATTTATTTTCCCAGAGAAATGTAATGTATCAATTAATTCTTAATAACCACAAACATCATATTTTGTTTGTAAGAAATGGTGTAGGTATCATTGTTTCTGTGTCTTCTTCTTCTTCTTCTTCTTCTTCTTCTTCTTCTTCTTCTTCTTCTTCTTCTTCTTCTTCTT